CGGGGAGAATGTATGTGTGCGTGCATCCGTTTCGTATGCGTTAGCCGCACGAGTTCAGCATTTCTCAGCTCTCAGCTATATGCTGAGCAGCAGCAAATCATGATACTCTGCGCCAAACTATATACATTACAATGTGAACGGGTCGCAAGTCTCTTACGTGAAAACAAGCCATACGCGAATATATGACAATACACACGAACCAAAATGAGTACAGTAACCGAACGCGCAGAAAAACTCACCGAAACGTGGGGCGTTGTAAATGCACATAAACGCGTCTCACATACAATGTGTTTGCGATTTCGATGTATATGCGACTAAGCGGTGTGCGTCTTGCGTAATGCATGCGTCGATTGCCGCATCGAATACAAATGTGTACTCATACAAATTTGTATACCGTACAAATATAACATAGTTTGAATATATATAATATATAGGTTTGACTGAAACATGCAATTGCGTTTTCATAATGTTTGTGATTTGGCATTTGGTAATGCTACAAAATTGTGTCAGTATAAGAATATGCTATTCATTTCCTTGAAAATGTTCCGATAATTTATCTTAAATTATTTATTTATCACCTGGTGAAATCAGAATGAAAAAAAATCGTATTCCTTATCATCCAAATCACGATCTGGATTTTTTTTCACTTTGGGAGTGCTCTATACGAGTTTCATATAAACTTGCTATATGATACCTATTGAATAACCTTATATGTTGACATTTGATTTACATTCCAGTTCATGTTGAAGATTTTTTCTCAACTTTTCTAAAGGTATTTTTGTTTCTCAACGGTTCCTATATTGTCATCTCATAAAAAGCGTAAAAATTAGTCTTTTTTTTAACTCGTAACATCAAAACCAATTTTTTCTATTCGTAACATCGTAAAAAAGCATTTTAAATTGAAACACACGGCAAGAAATTTTTCAAAATGTAATACCAAAACAAAATTTATTGAAGTGTAACACTCTGTGTTTCATTTCAATGAAAGAAGCCATAAGAAAGCCATAGATTTATTGCCTAAAACGATAAAAAATAAAATTCACATATAGTTGGCGCTGCATTCTATGCAAACTTGTTTTCCGTTGCAACGGACTAAGTGGAAAGTATACGCTTATTACATAGAATGTAGCGCCAACTATACGTGAATTTTATTTTTTCATCATTTTAGGCAGTAAACTTATCGCTTCTTTGCGTTGGTACAACAATTCAATAAAATCTTTAAGATTTGTTACACATTTCTATGTTCGGAGTAGAAGTCCCACTTTCATTCTCGGCAGTGTTGGGTAATTGTAAAATTTTTGGTATCTAGATAAGATGAGATTTTTTTAGTTTTGCAAAAAATTTATCTAGGTAAGATACCATATCTTATCTTAAAAAACGCAAAGATAAGATAATATCTTGGGTGTATCTTAGATACTTTCAAAGATATTTTTACGCAGAAAAAATCACAAAAATTTTGGACTTTAGATACTCAAAAGTATCTAGATATTGGATTATTGGATTATTGGATAAAACGGGGAGTTTTTCACTTCGATGCTCAAGTTTCGTAACTTATTGCATGACGACCCGACTGAGTCCATTCTTCGTTATGCACACACACGGGACCGACGGCTTTAAGTGCTCTTCCGAAGCACTCCACTAGCCCGAAACCCGGCCAAATCTATTCCGCATTAAACCACTGACGATTCCTGAGCGAATCACGGTGGAAAAATACCGGACCAAATTTGACCGAGAATCGAACTCGTGTCCTCACGCTCACAAACCTGGCACGCTAACCACTAGTCTATGGCTGAGTTGATCTAGATAAGATGAGATATATTCGTCAAAGATAAGATAAGATATAAGATATCATCTTATCTGGCATCTTATCTGGTATCTCATCTTATCTAATATCTTTACCCAACACTGATTCTCAGAAATTCATTTGTTAGTCCACTAGGCTTGATTCAATTGTGGCCTTGCTGATGAAATGGAGTTTATTTCATATAGCATATTGATGATTATGAATCAAGTCAAACTTCACATGCCAATCTAATTGAAATGTTTTTCTCTCTTTTATTCATTGTATTGGATATGATATGAATGTATAACAATGAACGTACTCTTTCACATTATTTAACAATTAGAGCAAATCTGAAATTAACAAAAAACAGATATTGCATTAACAATAAACGCACTCATTTACGTCTATATGTTGCTATTGTGGCCTACGTGCATTTTTTTAAATAATAACTGAACCTTCGCCTTGTAGTTTATTTGGTAATAAATGTTTTGGATTTTATCAAGTGTGAAAAACTTGCTTGGAGCAGATGTGATCGCAGAGTAATACAGCCTAATTTTGCAAATGGCATACTGTGTCATTATTTCATTTATTGAAAACTTATTTTTCGACACTGGAGTATAACATGTTGTCACAGATAACTTCAAATTATATTTTTGTTGTTTAATACATTTTTTATAAATATTTAATCTGAAAATCCTAGTTGAATTAAAATTTGTACTACCGACTACATAAATGGTGAATTCAACCTATTTTTACAAATCCAACTATTAAATTATCTATTTCATTGTAATTTTTGTAAATGCTATTCCACGTATCTTATCTATATTATCTATTTCTAAATTACGTCAATAATTCTTTGTTTGTGACAGTTGCATCGCAAGTCAATGTTTCAAATATTTTGGCACCTAAACTTTTTAGTACGATCCAAAAGGTCTCGGACGCGTTCGTTGACAACACTCGAAGAAACACCATTGTGTGGTCTTACAACTGATTACATAAGAATCGATGTCCGAATGTATGTGCGTACCCTGTATCCGGTACGCAAAAATTTGTTAACACGATAACCTAGGGAAATTTATCTGTTCGCGAATATATATTATTCGATGGTACATATACTATGCATATTTTACGAATAATGCATTGAATGTACGTATTTAGCGAATATTCGCAGTGAATATACGCAAAATATACGCAATATTCACAGTGTTTTAGTTGAGATAAAAACCCCTAGACGATAACCTTCCCCCTGAAACGTTATTCAAAATCTGACTTTACAGATTTCGATATACTTTTCATAATAAAAATCACAACAAATTTGCATTTTTGTATGGAAGACATCCTTGTATGATATCGTCTGTATGATAATCATCTGAAACATTGCACGGAATATTTTTTTCACAAAATAAAATTCCGAGAGTTTGAAGAAATTTCAATGTTATTAACAACAATTCGCCTTTTTTGCTCAAAACCGAACATTTTGTATGGGTGCGATCAATTTCCAATCAATAAAACGCAATAAATATTTGTTTGAATTAATTTAATCATCATACCAACTTGTTAATCTTAGTTTCTTGCCAAAATACATAAATTTAGTAAATTTGAAGACATTTCAATCAAAAGTAGGTGTACTCCTCATACAAAATTTTCTTAAAACTTTCAGAATGTTAGCGTTTTTGTGAAAAAATAACCTGTGCAAAGTATCACGTCATTACGATATCATATAGGTATGGCTCCTATTTGAAAATTCACATTTTAAGTAGTTTTTGTATAAAAAGTGAGTCAAAAATTATTCGTATCGTAATGCCACATCAAATAAAAGATACGTATCAAATGCATGTTGTGGATCACTTTGCGGAAAAGTTTATCTTACGATTGTAAGTCATCCTATTTTTATTATAGTGGCTTGAAAATATTGTCCGAAAATAGATTAAAATGTGAAATAATTGAGGTAATTTCTTTAGTGAATCTACACTAGAACTTTTTCATGGACGTAGCATCATTATACCAGAAACTGACCAGAAAAAGAACACATCAAAACCCAAAATATAACAAAAGACACTCTGATGATGTAAATGTGATTCAGAACGCGATAAACGGGTGCGTCGGTTCATCTCGAGAAAAGTGCGTTGGTTTGCCCCGTTCTATATGTTCAAGTTCAAATTTCGATGTCACCAAACTCACAAATATTATACAAAATTGTATATTTGTACTTTCCCGTACTCGACATAAACTGTCAGATCAATGATGAAATAATCACGATAATCGAAATTCTGTGAATGCGAAATATAGGCCAAAAATACTGCATTCCTATAAAAATGAGGTGGAAAGCACAACGTTTTTTTTTTCGAAAATTTGACGCTGTGTTTAAACTTTTAAGCATTCAACAAGCTGTTCGCACATTATTATTTCTCTATATTTCAACTAAAATATGAAGAATGATTATTAGTGTTAATATTTAATGAATTATTTAGATTCCGTATGTTTTGACATTTAGAATAAAAATATATTTCAGAAATGATTACATTGAAAATTGTAAACTTTGAATTCTTTTAGTCTTGCGAAAAAATAAATTTTGTCTCCAAACCTACCATATTTTTGTAAAAAAAGGTTCAATTTGAAAAATGACTTTGTCACTTGCACAAACGTTGTATAGAAGATGTCCAAAGCACCTAACATATCATTAAGAAAAAGTTTCTTCTAAATAATTAGAATGTGGGGAGGCTTTTCAACACGATATCTAAAATCGTGGAATAACAAAAATTAATGTTTATTTAACAAATGAAATTCGATATTTCTTGCATTCTTAGAATTGATCAGCAATTTCAAACACGCTTAACACCATTGAATCAATGTCAAAATAAACTTCATTGTGTGTACTGTATATATAATTTTCCAAATATTCTAAATTCTAAAATACATACATTAGGAAATTATTTAAATGTTCAAATCCATTCTCAGTGTAACATAAGTTCTTTAATATTTTTTGTTAATTAAATAGAGTTAACTGTTAAATAAATGTAAAATTTAATAATCATTTGAATATGCCGTTATCCAAACATTTTTGATATTAGATTTGCATTGATCGTTCTAAACAACGAGCAATTAATTAAATTTAATACTTCTTAGTAAATGTCGTATACCAACGATAGTATTTATATTACAAACTCTGAATTTCTGAGAATAACAGTGAGTGTATTGAAACCGAGTAAAAACTTACCGTGCCATAATGAAGTCACATATTCCACTCAATGTTAATTTTTTATGGGGTGACTGTAGTATCGCCATTGTGATTAACGCTATATAAGAATAGGGAGGTTTCACCAATGATGTGCGTGCTTTTTCGTCGTTAGATACTACTGCAGTCTTATTGGTTGATGAACCATTCAAGAGGGCGGGCCGTAAATCGAGTGGTGACGTTGTATTGGATGAAGCTGCGTGCATTGCGTTTATGTAATTGTATCTATATGTTTTTGCTGGGGCACTACAATTTTTTTCTTTTTAATCATTCACGTTTTAATCTTTCTCGTTTTCATATTTCCAAAATCATCAATAATATTTCTTCAATTTTGGTTTCGCACATTTGCTTTTTAACACTGGTTTCATAATCATTTTTCTTATGAGAGCACTGTTTATACGCTTATTAAAAAAGAGAGATGAAATATCAACTTTCCGTTGGAAAAACAAACTATTGTAAAACTTTCTTTATTATCATACTAATTCTACTAATATTCACGAACTTTTAATGAGATTTCAAAATCTGTAAAATAAAAAAAAGGTAATAACATTATTTTAAAATTGGAATATAATAAAATCTTTAAGGAAGAAATTAAAATTATTATTGATATACCCTCTGCTTATTCTTTGAATGTTCATGGAGTTGACTGATAAAAACTGGAATAATATAAAACCATAGCAAAAATCACAGATTCACGCACAAAAATCACGTCAGCAAGATTCTCGGGCAAACGAACAAATACGTCTGTTTGAAACGAAAAATTTATACTAAATGTGTTACTATATACAAAAATGGATGGATCTCACCTCGCGTGTACATATATTTGATTTCTCGCTCACTCATTCACCCTCTTTCATGTATCACACCAAATGGTTTTAAGGCTGTGTTTTTGTTCCTAACAGGGAAAAGGGATTACACACAATACATAGAAATAATGGTACACACACTCTCTATCTTTTATCCAATCTTCGTTTTTCTAGCGCAAATACAATATTTATTTAACAAGACCACGCGCATTTTGCGTAGTTTCCCTTCCTTTACGAAACTTCAAAATCCCTTAAATGTTAACCATCAACAAAACAAAGCAGAATGCATTTAAAGTTGGACAAATTTCCAAAATATAAAAGAGAATAAGACAAATATATTTATTTAGTATTTTAATCCCTCAATAAGAAAAAAAATCAAATACAAATTAGTAAAATCCAGTATAAAATTTATTCTATAGTTTTATTGTAAGTCTATAATTTTTCAGACTATTATTTTTTTTTTGTTTCTTACATACATGTGACTTTCTTACTTGAATTTACTATTGTATATTACTACAATATACTATTCACACTTTTGTTCAACACATATATATTTCGAGTATGCTCTGTTTTTACAAAAAAATACATTTCTGAAAACATATTGTTTGATGGACATTTCTGCGTTATATACTGTGTGCAGTATTGTAAGTATTGTAATCACCCCAAAACTTCGAAATCGTTTTTCTATGTGTTTTGGGTCTAGACAATCACACAGTTTTGGTTTTTTCCATGTTAATGTGTGGATTTGGTGTACAGTGTACACTGTATGCAAAAATTTGTTAGCAGGATTACTCTTCTCATTTCATCCCAAAATATGTTAGATAAATTATTGGAACATGATTATGATTCAGCATATAATTTTACCAATCTACCAATTAGAAGTTCCTTCTTCTTTCCAATTACACTAAATATGAACCTTTGATTTAAATCAAAACAAAACATTTTCACTAAAATGAATAATGAAATAATCATCAATTCAATTTAAGTTATTCTTTTTAAATTTTTCTTATAAAAAATAATTAAAAATATTAAATATATAACTCAAAATTGTTTGATGAAAAATATTTTAACCCTCTAGTGTGGTGTATGAAGCCTTTCATTTTATATCCATTTGACAATTGGTTTTTGGGTATATATTTACTAGGGGGAGACACCCGTGAATCCATTCACCTTTTGTGTCGGATTTGTACGATTAGTATGATTACAAAATTTTACAAAGATTCACATTCGATTCAATTTTTGATTTAAATTGCTATAATTCCAATGATTTGCACAGATTCACAGATTCGTAAAGATCCACAGATTCATTAAATATTCACATTTTTGTGTTTTTTCTTTTATCCGTGTCGTATGCGTTAGTCGTACGAGTTCAGCATTACTCAGCTCTCAGTGATATGCTGAGCAGCAGCAAATAATGATACTCTGTGTGTAATAAAAAGGGAGCCCAATATCGCTACTGGCCCAGAAATTTTTTGTATGTTTTTGTTGTTGTTGTAATCACAACAACAAATCTATGCAAAGAAAACTTCATGATGCTCTTTTATTTTTATCGGGTTTCGAGCTCACTTAAAATCCTCACCCATACATTTATTTTCTAGGGAGCTCTCATTTTTGGTCAGACTGGGCTCGGAAACATCGGGGAAAACATTTTCTAAAATCGGCTGAATCCGAATTTTTTGTTTCAGGTCATATTGGACCAGCTTTCAAACACTTTCGAAATTTTTCGAATATTTCAAAATGTTTTCAACCGTTGTGCATATGAATATGGTCCTCGTCCTAAAGTTACCTTTTTAGAAATTGTGATAAGATAGGTATATACACACAAAAAAAAGAAATAGTAGATTTTTTTTGGTTATGTGGTAGGCACATAGTTTACCACACAACAAGTAAAATCTACCACAAAGTGTCACATGTATTTGCACTAATATTTGTAATCTACTACAAAGTGTCGCATCTATAAACTGTCAAATTTACAAATACCAATGTATGACACTCTTTACATGGGACACTTATTAATGCAAATACATGTGACACTTTGTGGTAGATTTTACTTGTTGTGTGGTAAACTATGTGCCTACCACATATCCCAAAAAATCTACTATTTCTTTTTTTTGTGTGTATTGGGTTAAGCTAGCCTATAAAATGTTATATTGTACACACAAAAAACACCTAACCTCAATATGAGACGATTTGACATAAAATTCAGTTTATCCGAAGTCTCATTTATTTTTGGATAAATTTTAGTAAACAATTTTTTTTTTTTAATTTTTTTGTGCGTTTTACCGATTCTCCGAGAGTTTCATATAAGCCTGCCATGTAACAGCGAAAAAGACAGTTGAAAATACGAAAAAAAAATCGTGTTTTCGACTGTCTTTTTTCTGCTACATGGCATGCTTATATGAAACTCTCGGAGACTCTGTATAACGCACCAAAATATTGAAAAAAATTTGTTTACTAAAATTTATCCAAAAATAAATGAGACTTCGGATAAACTAAATTTTATGTTAAATCGTCTCATATTGAGGTTAGGTGTCTTTTGTATGTAATATATCACCAAACATATGTTCTTTCGGAAATAAATGTTCCAAATGAAATTTGGAAACATTGCGGAAAAATTAGACTTGTGGATGTAATTTCCTTTTTATTTTTATGTAACGTACATGCTACTTATGTAAAAGAAGCGAAAATTCTGTTGATTTTCAATATATATAAAAGCGTCGGCAATGCTGCCCACTTTCTATTGATACACAACTATACTGTCGTCCCACTTTAATTTAGACGAGTACAAAATAATATCATCAAATTCTAGATGTATGTCTCAATCTTGAAGGAAATTCTTATAAATCCATGGTTGTTAGAGCAAACATGTTATTTGTTGTTTATTTTATACTTACATATAGATAAGCGTATTGTATCTTACGGATTCCTTTTTTATTTACTTGAATCATCCATAAACTTATCATACATTAACCGGAAATCCTTAAGTGACTCCCATGAGTTCAGTTTATTCGGTCTTTACGTGTAAATTATTAACACCAATTTTTTACATTATGAGCCAATTATGAGAAAAAAACTAAATATATATGTATATATCGCAATACAAAATACAATTCATATTATTGAAATAAATGTTCGATTTCATGAAAGCTTGCTCAACATATTTTTAGAACATATTCTATTTAAGTAAGAACGCGAATCATCGTAACAAATATTGTCTTCTCAATTCCTATAAATATATTAATGCAGTATCGTAATCAACGGACGTTTTTATTCGTTCTACATTTTGGGAAGAAAAAAGAAACGTGTCAAACCAGAGTTTTCATATTATCTTCCTCTGTAGATTCAATAGGGGTACTAACAGTTCATAAACTTCTTCCCGCATAAATCCCGATATCGTTAGAATAAATCAAATTCATTGTGAAATATGACAAAAAATTGAAGTTCTTAGCAAAATAATCAGTTTTATCAAGATTCTCTACTAGTATATTTGTTAATTTATAGTCGAAGACTGCCACAAGAGATACAAAATGTGCATTGTCCCAATTTTTTCGTTTATTCTTCAAAACCAGTTTATTTGTAAGAATATAGGTATATGAAAAACGATTCAAGTTGTTGAAAACATTAAATCTGTGAAATGATTAACCGTTGTGAACTGTGAAATGATGAATTTACGAATCCGATCTTTTTCTCAACATCTAAAAAGGCAAATAGTAAATATTTTAGATCCATCGACTTAAATCCATCGAATTTTTAAAACTCCTAGAGTTGCTGTATTGATTTCGTTCACCACAAAATTGCAGTCGTCGTTTTTTTCGCACTGTATTAATAACGTAACAGACGACAAAATCAAAAGAAATTGTTTTATATACATTTTGAAATACATACTACACTGGAATATTATATGAAGTATTAGTAACTGTTCAAGTAGCTTGTGTCAACAGAAGGTGGCATAGCAGTGTTTGAAACAATGTTCGATTGTGGTTTCCACCAATTGTCAAATATCGAAAACCAAGCTGGAAATGTTTTGGACCTTGTGTTCACAAACAAGTTCTATGAAATGTCACTGATAGAATCAACTAGACCATTGATAGAATCAGACATTTGGCACAAAGCAATCGAAGTTGAAATTTCAATCGAAGCAAAGGAAAACACAACACAGCAAGCGTCACAAATACTTGCATACAACTCGGTTAACTTCGATGCGTTGAACGAATTTTTCGTCTCAAATGCCGTTTTGTCTGTAATAGATCAAATAGATGATCTCGAAAATGCATTCCTAATTTTTGGTAATGTTCTACACGAGGCAATCGATTTATTTGTACCTAAAATCACTGTACAGAAAAACTCTGATCCGCCTTGGTATACGAAACAATTGAAACACTTGAAAAACATCAGAAGCGAGGTGTACAAAAAGCAAGGGAAACTGGCGATTTCAGTGAATACAACACCATCACTGATTCGTTCATGCAATTGCAAAGCCAGCTTTTTAAGTCGTACATTAGCCGCATACAATCACAAATCAGAGCCAATCCAAAACATTTTTGGCGATTTGTGAACGACAGAAGAAGAAGAAGTGATATTCCGGCTATTGTTGAATACAACAATGAAACTGCGGACACTGACACATCGAAAGCTGAATTATTTGCTAATTTCTTCGAAAATCAGTACACGCGTAGCGACAACATCGATTTAGACCAAGTATCTGTTTAGACCAATCTGGAAAGAAAAGTATTGCATCGAATTATCGTCCGATTGTTATCATACCAACAATAGCCAAAATATTCGAAATTGTTATGTATCGCAAAATCGATGCTTTTGTTAATTCAAAAATCTGCCACAATCAACATGGATTCGTGAAAAATCGATCTACTTCGACGAACTTGCTGCAGATGGTGAATTTCACGATCGATTCTATGATCAAAAAATGCCAAACGGATGTGCTGTACACCGACTTCGAAAAAGCCTTCGATCGTGTTAACCACAAGAGATTGCTGCAGAAGCTGGCGTGTTTTGGACTTGGCCGTAGAATTGTTAAATGGTTCCATGACTACTTGACGAATCGAACACAGTTTGTTGTAATCGGTGA